GAAATAGAGAGCCAAGATAAACACGATCCCGCTCACAAAATTTGAATAGTTGGTGGCAGAGGAGAGAGGGAGAAGGAGAGGGAGGGCGGGAGGGAGGGAAGGAGGGATGGAGGAAAGCAGAGGGGAGGGAGGAAGGGAGAGAGAGGGAAGGAAGGAGGGTTGGAGGGACGGTTGGAGAGACGACGAACGGATGGAGGAAGGCAGAGGGGATGAAGGGAGGGAGGGAACGAGGGAGAAGGGAGAAAAGAAGGTTGAAAAGGGGGGAGGGAGGTCAAACCCAATGTAAATAAGGCGCTTCTGGACGTTTACATGATCACTGACCTCCCAACGTACAAATTGATACCGATATTAACAACATCTTTATAACTATCTGATTGTGACCTCTGACCTACCATTGACCTCTGACCTCCCATAACCGTGTACTGACCATGACCTCTGACCTATCATGAGCGTGTACTGACCTACCATGATCGTGTACTGACCTACCATGACCGTCTACTTACGATGACCTCTGGACCTACCATGGCCGTGTACTGTCCATTGACCTCTGACCTACCATGGCCGTGTAGTGACCATTGACCTTGACCTCACATGGCCGTGAGTGACCAAGACCTCTGACCCCATGACCTGACCATTATGACCGTGACCTACCAAGTAGTCCTTGACCTTGACCGTAGTGACCTCTGACCTACTATGTGTGAAGTGACCCAGAGACCTACCTGACCTGGACCTACCATGGCCTGTGTACTGTCTATTGACCTCTGACCTACCATGGCCGTGTAGTGACCATTGACCTCTGACCTACCATGGCCGTGTAGTGACCAAGACCTCTTGACCTACCATGACCGTGTAGTGACCATTGACCTCTGACCTACCATGACTGTGTAGTGACCATCGACCTTTTGGCTCTGATATCAGGTGAGTTCATTTGAGAGTCTCCTTCCGGGTGTTTGTTGTGTTTTGTCCAAAGGTAATTGTTGAACTGATGTAAATAAACAGTAATATCCATTCCTTGTTGACCTCTGATCTTATCCCACACACACACACACACACACACACACACACACACACACACACACACACACACACACACACACACACACACACACACACGTGCGCGCAAATATATAATTGAAAAAAATATTTATATATCAAAATTTAGACATACATAAATACATACATACATACATACATACATACACACATGGTGGAATGAGGTATAATATTTGCAGGAGGTTATGCGTGGTTGAGGGGAAAACAAGGCACCGTCCAGAGAGTAGTTAAAGGTGTCATGTGACAGATTAGTGTCACGCCGCGGCACCAGCTGCACACACACCAGCTACATGTGACTGTACACTGCCACACCACAACCTAACTATCCTAACCCACCACCCTCCCGGTAACACTGTTGTTAATTCAAAGGTGACGTAACCATAATGTGTGTGTGTGTGTGTGTGTGTGTAATATTCATGTGATCTTAGAGCAGTGTATGACTATTACAGAGTGATGTAGAAATTGTTAGAGTCATGTTACAGTTTAAACAGTCATATACACGGGTTACAAAATCGCCATATGCTTGTGATAGCTCTAAAGGTCAACAGGAGATGAATATGTCAACAAACTCATTAATAGTTGTTCATTAAAAAACTCTTGTTACTGGCTTTTACGTTCTCAGATGACTGGTTTATTGTGTCACAGCTTAACACACACACACACACACACACTGGCTCCTACTACCACCTGAGATCCCTCGCCCGAGAATTGCTGTTCGACACCACAACCACATCCAGCCCATACGAGCACGAACTGATCGCTATAAGAACAGCCCAGTCCCAACCATTGTAAAAATTTTCAATAACTTGTACTAAACCAGTGTATTCACTCCCAGTAAATCCTACTTCTTGCACTGTCACTATGTTGAAATGCCCTGTAATTTGAGCTTCTCCCCACCTAGTTATTATATATCATATTTGCATCACTTATGTTACTTGTATATTATTTGTAAATCAAGAGACCCATTCCCCAATTATGTAACTGTATATTTTCAGCCTTCCGGCTGCTATGCTCTTTCAATAAACCGTTAATTATCATTATTATTATTATTATTATTACACACACACACACACACACACACACACACACACACACACACACACACACACACACGCACACACACGCGCGCGCAATCTAGAATCAGGAAGAATATTATAAAGTAACTCACCTAAATATGTGTTTCCGAGTCGTGTGTGTGTGCGTGTGCGTTTGGCATCTGTCTCTCTGAAATAATAACAAAAAAGAAATCATTATTAGGTTAGGTTAGGTTAGGTTAGGTTGTCAGTCGAGTATATTTATTATTGTCTATGTTCCTAAAGGCTGTAGTTCATGTAGTTTAGTGTTTTCTACAATAAATTCTCACCTACAATGAAGAAGAAGAAGAGGAGGAAGAAGAAGGAGAAGGAGGAAGAGGGGGAGGAAGAGGACGAGGAGTTGGAAGGGGGGAAAAAAACCACACTAAAATAAAAAGAACAAGACGAAAAAGAAGAAGAAAGAAATGAAGAAAACAACAACAGGATGAAAAGAAGAAAGGCAAAAGAAAACACAAACAACAACAACAACAAAGTGAAAGAATAACACGTCATTTCTACACACACACACAATAAAAAAAATACTAAAATAAATAAAAAAATCAATAAATAAACGCAAAAAAACACATGAAAAACAATCAAGACGCTCTTTCTCTTCCTTAATATAATATTCCACGAACACCTTTATATAACAAAACACTAGGACAAAGTTTGGGAGGAAATTTGTGCCTGTGCAATTTTCAGACATTGTTGCAAGCATAAAAGTAATCGGGAGACTTCAGTAATGACATTTAAATTACCTATTCTGACAGTTCGGTCTTGCGGACGGACGTACACTGCTGCCGCTCGCGAGTATTGTGTTGGGACGTCGACTTTGGATGACGGAAATTTTTCAGTTTTGTGTGTGTGTGTGTGTGTGTGTGTGTGTGTGTGTGTGTGTGTGTCTGTGTGTGTGTGTTTAATTGGGATTTTATTTATTTTATTTGATGTGGATTTTGTTTTGTGTGGGATTTTATTTATTTGATATGGATTATTTTTTGGTTGTGGGATTTTATTTATTATATTTGACGTGGATTTTGTTTTGTGTGGGATTTTATTTATTTTGTGGCGGAAATTTTACGCTTTTGTGTGTTTAATTTGGATTTATTTATTTGATTTGATAGGGATTTTATTTATTCCATTTGATAAGGATTTTATTTCTGTTTATGTGCGATTTTATTTACGTGACGGGGATTTTTTTGTGTGTGTTTTACGTGGGATTTTATTTATTCAATGTGACAGGGATTTTACGATTCGTCCGTTTATGTGGGATTTTGTTTTTCAGGTGATTTTTTTATACTGTGGGTCAATAAATAAACAAAATACGATTGCTGTACTGTCCTCGGTCTCTCTCGGTCTCGTAAAACACAAAAAAACACTTACGACTTGCCGAGACTCTGGAGACTACATTGCGAGACTCTGGAGACTACATTGCGAGACTCTGGAGACTACATTGCGAGACTCTGGAGACTACATCGCGAGACTCCGTAGACTACATCGCGAGACTCTGGAGACTACATCGCGAGACTCGAGGAGACTCCGGAGACTACATCGCGAGACTCTGGAGACTACATCGCGAGACTCTGGAGACGACATTGAACAAGATCAACACCACGATAAGAAGTACACACGCGGACAGAATTCCCGGGTCACTTGGCGTTATCTGGCCTGTATACAGTAAGTAATTAAGGGTCATTAACTGAGGAGGGACTGCAATTTGGACGTATTTTCTCATTAAGGATTGTTCATTTTATTTCAAGGTTCCTATATGTGATGAAAAGCATTAATATAACCCAGAAATAAACGCTGACTATTGCCAAGTGTTAAGGGAATTTTCTCCTCAATTGTACCTGCCTTTACTGCTGGCTTTACTTCTGGCTTTACTGTTAGCTTTACTTCTGCCTTTACTGCTGGCTTTACTTCTGGCTTTACTGTTAGCTTTACTTCTGCCTTTACTGCTGGCTTTACTTCTGGCTTTACTGTTAGCTTTACTTCTGCCTTTACTGCTGGCTTTACTGTTGGCTTTACTTCTGGCTTTACTGCTGGCTTTACTTCTGGCTTTACTGTTGGCTTTACTTCTGCCTTTAATGTTGGGTTTACTGCTGGCTTTACTTCTGGCTTTACTGCTGGCTTTACTACTGGCTTTACTGCTGGCTTTACTGTTGGCTTTACTTCTGGCTTTACTGCTGGCTTTACTGACTTCACTGATGGTTGTGGTTTAGTTCATGAGGGATTTATCTTTTAAAAGTGAGGGTTTAAAGCAGTGAGTGTCTAATCTGGGTTACCGCTTGTTAGTCCCTCTCTCTCATAACTTAAAGGGAGACGTAAGTGACAGCTATAAAAGACGGTGGAGATTAATAGGACTCTCTTAAGGAGTTACACTTTATTGTTAATATTATCAGGAGGAATGGCTCAAGACACCCATAAAGGAGCAACATTTTATGACTAATATCACTAAAAAGTAAAGTAATGCAAGCAAAAAGTATTGAATTTCTTTCGTTGTTTGCTCAAGGTACTGTAAACAAGACGTCACAAAGACAGGGGAAAAAAAGATCCAACAAGTATGTTATCTTCCCCTGGAGGCGGCGGTACAAACAGTCCTCGCTAGGGAAATAAATCATCCCATTTTCTCCTCGACGTTGATAGTTGTGAAGGGAGAGTCCGCTTGCCGTCTCATCTCCCGGAGTATTCATGGCTAAAATATTCATAGGCCAGCACGCTCATGACGCTGACAAACTCCTACCACTTCCCATCCGTCTGTGATGTGGATTAATGTGAGATGGATGATGTACTGCCGGCCGCCTCTTACCGACAGTGAAATCACGCGAGGGGAAAATTCCGTCTGATTTTACGTAAACAAAGATTTGCCCACAGGGAAATTTCACTCATCAATCGTGCGGATGGAAAGTCGATCGTCCGAGAATTGGGTGGAAAATTGATCCTAAAGTAATCTATCATAGTAATAAAAGACAAAAATAATCTATACCGTATTTTACATTACTAAGAACACCTGAGTGACACTTGTGGAGGTTTATCATAATTACATCACAACTATAAACCCTCTGCGCTTGTATAATACGGGTTATGAGGGAACTACTTAACGGTGATGAACCCAAATTTGTCTCCTTTATGATTTTGTGTTCGTCTTGGAAAATAAGTGAATCTTTGTTCATCCTAGAAGCTACTTGTGACCTTGTTCGTCCTGGAAACTAAATAAACTTTAGTTCATATATATTTGTCCTAGACACTGGGAAAATTATTGTACGTCCTGAAAATTAAATGTCTCTCTTGTTCATCCTGGAAACTAAAAAATTTTCGCCCCTGCCACACACAGGCCCGACCCTCACCGTCCAGCCGGAGAGATGCAGTAATGTGTACAAATTTGCGCCGAGTGTCGACCAGCCCGTAAAGTTGGTCTTTAAAGTGAGGTCACCGCCTGCCTGAATGACCCGCCACGGTGACCTGGTCCTCCGGAGGGTTGACCTGACTTGCTTTAGAAGGAGAGAATCAAGCTGGAAGTTTGTCCGGCTCTTGAATGTGTATGTGTGTGTGACTTGCTAGCTGCTGCCGCCCTGACCCGCTTGGAAACGACGAGATTAACAACTGTGTCTGGGTGTGGGAGCCTCAGCGGTAACTTTAACATGTTAACTGCTCCTCTACCCCCCACCCCCCTTCTCGGTGTGTATCTGTAGACGATGGACCAGTGATTCTAGGCGTTTTTCTTCTTCTTTACTTGGCTTCCCCTCGGCCCTTTCCCCTTCCGTTCCCTTCCGTTTCTGACAACTCGCTCTCTTCTCCCCCATGACTGGCTCGCCTAGAGGGTACCGTAACCTAGTGTCGTGTGAGGGAAGAGGAAGAAGATGGGGTTATCTAGATGCGGTTGGCAGGAGGGGGATAGGAGGAGGAAGAGGAGGAGGGAAGAAGAAGGGAAGAGCCGCAGTAAGGTCGCTTGCGGGTCGTCGGCACCAAACACCAGACCACCAACCAATTAGGTCACCGCTGCTAATGTGATCACCTACTACAGCCACCTACCCTGGGGAACGTCACGAGAGGGGAGGGAAGTGCCTAGCTGAGGGGAAGGGGGAGGAGGAGGGACGGGAGGCCAGTGGGGGAGGAAGGGACGGGAGGCCAGAGGGGAAGAAGGGACGGGAGGCCAGAGGAATGGACAAAGGAATGGCGACGGCGTTGAAATGGGAAAGTAGAGATCAGAGAGAGAGAGAGAGAGAGAGAGAGAGAGAGAGAGAGAGAAGAAGCAATCCCCCAAAACACAAAATCTTAACTGCACTGTACACAACACATCCCTTACTCACAAAACAAAACACAAAAAAACACGAAAAAACAGAATAAAGAATAAACCACGAGAATGAAAGAGAATGCGAAAGGTATAATCAAGAGACAAAGATGAATCACAGAGAGGGGGAATGACAACATAGGTGATGATAATAAACTAACACGAAGAGAGAGAAGGGGAGAACATACAAGAGGGTGATGAATCAGGGAAGAGAGAAAAATACTCGATCAACCAAAAAAAAACAGAGTTGGGGAGGAGAGGAGAGGAGAGGAGAGGAGAAGATGATGGATATGGATAATTTAGAGAAGAGAGAAGGATGGATGAATGGATATGGTAATAGGGAAGATTTGAAGGACCAGAGAGGGGATTATATAGCACAGTATATCCATAATATTACGTCATAACTGGGATATAAATTCAAGCAAGCCACACTAAATCTGTCCTCATACCTGTGTGTGTGTGTGTGTATGTGCGTGTGTGTGTGTGTGTGTGTGTGTGTGTGTGTGTGTGTGTGTGTGTGTGTTACCCTTCACTGCATCACCCACAGTAATTAACACCTCAGTACCGCTCCTCCCCTTCCCACGGTAACAACAGACCGTATTTATCAATGACAGATGACCATTGTATTAAATTCGCTGATACATGAACGGACTTACCTACACACATACGGACATTTTCACAGATGAACAAAAATATGAACTTTCTCACAGATGAACAAATAACCTCCTAACTATCCCACAGGTAAACTAAAACCTCTTAACTATCCCACAGGTAAACTAAAACCTCCTAACTATCCCACAGGTAAACTAAAACCTTCTAACTATCCCACAGGTAAACTAAAACCTCCTAACTATCCCACAGGTAAACTAAAACCTCCTAACTATCCCACAGGTAAACTAAAACCTTCTAACTATCCCACAGGTAAACTAAAACCTCCTAACTATCCCACAGGTAAACAAAAAACCTCCTAATTATCCCACAGGTAAGCAAAAACCTCCTAACTATCCCACAGGTAAACTAAAACCTCCTAACTATCCCACAGGTAAACTAAAACCTCCTAACTATCCCACAGGTAAACTAAAACCTCCTAACTATCCCACAGGTAAACAAAAAAACCTTCTAATTATCTCACAGGTAAACTAAAAACCACTTAACCTTCAATTAGTACATAACACTGGTTCCTCCACCCTACAATACAGTCTAATAGTTACCGAATCGGATTAGTATAACAGTTAACAATTTACAAGTTCGTTCTCTTCCCCTTTAAGTATCAGAAGAGCTTGAACACTTATAAAACACCATCCCATTTGTTCAGTTCCGATAAAAGAAGAGGAATTTGCCTTGTAAATGTCAGGTATTAGCAGCCATCACAACAGTTCAGTAAAGCAGATGAACAAGAAAGTATTCCTCTCAGTGATTGGCATTAAGTAAAGGACCACTTATTGGTATTGGTTTATTTACTGTATATATTGAGTGTGTGTGTGTGTGTGCGTGTGTGTGTGTGTGTGTGTATGTTGACTTTTTGTGTGTTCATACATATTATTTTTTTTTCATTACATTCAAAACAAAAAAACAACCTAGTATTTTCTTTCTGTTTTAACATTTGTATTTTGTTTTTTGTTTTTGTTTTTGCTTCAAACATTTGGCGATAAACACAAAACAATTTATTATTTCTTTCCATTCTTTCATTTGTGTATTTTAATGTATTTTCCCCCTCTGTATTTTTGGTCCATTTTTATTCTTGCTTATAACTGTGATAAAGAGTTTTTGGATCACATGAAGATTAGCCCCCCTCCCCCCTCCCTATTTCACCTGATGATTAAACACACTAATGCTACCTGGAGTGGTGGGGGGGGGGGGTAGGTTAAGTTGGGTTATGTTAAGTTACGTTGGATTCAGTTGAGTTGGGTTAGGTTTGGTTAAATTAGATCAGGTTAGGTTAGGTTAGCGTTAAATTAGGTTAGGTTAGGTTAAATTGGATCAGGTTTGGTTAGCGTTAAATTAGGTTAGGTTAGGTTAGATTAAATTAGATCAGGTTAAGTTAGTTTTAAATTAGGATGCGTTAGGTTAAATTAGATCAGATTAGGTTAGTTTTAAATTAACTCAGGTTAGGGTAGTTTTAAATTAGGTTAGGTTAGGTTAAATTAGATCAGGTTAAGTTAGTTTTAAATTAGGATGCGTTAGGTTAAATTAGATCAGATTAGGTTAGTTTTAAATTAACTCAGGTTAGGGTAGTTTTAAATTAGGTTAGGTTAGGTTAAATTAGATCAGGTTGGTTAGTTTTAAATTAACTCAGGTTAGGGTAGTTTTAAATTAGGTTAGGTTAGGTTAGGTTAGATGAAATAAACTCTGTTACTTCCTGTTATTCTTCTGTTATTTCTTATTTGTTTTTTCTGTTTTCTTTTTTAATCTAGGACAGTCAAGAAATATAAGTCTACATTTAAGTGTGAATATAATGACACCTTCTCCTATACTGGGATTCAAAATTAATGAAGGTGGACCACTAATGACCCCTAACAATGTGGGTTATGTAATCCCCTCTCTCGTTAGTCTAATTTCTCTCACTCAGTTTCCCCTCTCATTCACTTACTCACTCAATTTCCCCTCTCACTCACTCACTCACTCAATTTCCCCTCTCACTCACTCACTCACTCAATTTCCCCTCTCACTCACTCACTCACTCAGTTTCCCCTCTCCACTTTCTCCTCCACTTCCCCTCCCCCCTCTCTCCTAACTTTCCCCTCCCATCATCCTAACCCCTCTCCACTCCTCACCTCCCCTCAACCCCCTCCCACCCTTACCCCAACAACCCCCCAACACCCCCTCCTGCCTTCAACCCCCTACCACCACCTACAATTAACTCTCAATTTACCACCCAATCCCCCTTACTCTCCCTCACCACGCTCCTCACAGGCAGTCTCCCCCCATCCCCCCTCTCCCTCACCACTTGGCTCCTCACCAGGCAGTCTCCCCTCCCCCCATCCCCTTACTCTCCTCACCACTTGGCTCCTCACCAGGCAGTCTCCTCCCCCCATCCCCCTCTCCCCTGGCTCCTCACCAGCAGTCTCCCCATCCCCCCCCCCACCACTGGCCCCGCTCCCCCACCCCTACTTCCTCACCACTTGGCTCCTCACCAGCAGCCCCTCCCCCATCCCCCCTTACTCTCCCTCACCACTTGGCTCCTCACCAGGCAGTCTCCCCTCCCCCATCCCCCCTTACTCTCCCTCACCACTTGGCTCCTCACCAGGCAGTCTCCTCCCCATCCCCCCCTTCCCTCACCACTTGGTCCTCACCAGGCAGTCTCCCCCCACCCCCCACTCTCACCACTGGCCCTCCCAGGCAGTCTCCTCCCCCATCCTTCCTCCCTCACTTGGCTCCTCACCAGGCAGTCTCCTCCCCCCATCCCCCTTACCTCCCTCACCACTTGGCTCCTCACCAGGCAGTCTCCCTCCCCCATCCCCTTACTCCCTCACCACTTGGCTCCTCACCAGGCAGTCTCCCTCCCCATCCCCTACCCTCACCACTTGGCTCCTCATCAGGCAGTCTCTTCCCTTGAGTGATATCAATCGTCCTCTCATCTGTCTTCCTGGTGACATATTTTACATAACAAATCAAACTGTCAACAAAACCAGGACACACTGACCATGTTTACGATTGACAGTCACCGTTCTCTGTCTGTTTGTTTGTTTGTTTCTTGTTTGTGTGTGTGTTGTTTATCTGTCTGGTGTGTTTGTTTGTTTCTTGTTTGTGTGTGTGTTGTTTATCTGTCTGGTGTGTTTGTTTGTTTCTTGTTTGTGTGTGTTGTTTATCTGACTGGTGTGTTTGTTTGTTTCTTGTTTGTTTGTCTGTCTATTCGCCTCTTGTTTATATGTCTATCTGTCACTTGTTTGTCTATCTATCTCTTGTATGTTTGTTTGTTTGTTTGTTTATCTGTCTCTATCTCAAAACAGTCTCCAAATTTCTTCTCCCTCACCATCTCTTAGTCTCTAGCCTTGAGAGAGAGAGAGAGAGAGAGAGAGAGAGAGAGAGAGACAATTATCTCCCACCAACTACCTAATTGGATCGTTAAGGCGCTAAATAGCACTACATGGTTACCTCGTCCGCTTGTCTCGTCTGCAAATTGTTGTTGTGTGTCGAGCTGTCCAGGGATACCAAGTGTGTGTGTGATATTCCAGGGTTGTGGTGTGGTGGCTATTCCGGGTTCTATTCTGTTAAGGTACTGGTGATCACTTTCCGGGTTGTGTGGTGGAGGTGGAGTAGCTACTTTCCGGGTTGTGTTGTGGAGGTGGAGTAGCTACTTTCCGGGTTGTGTTGTGGTAGTGGAGTAGCTACTTTCCTTTTAAATTTTTCATACCAATGCAATAATTACCCACCTTCCCACTCTCTCTCTCTCTTGGTTCAGGGCTGGGGTTGACCTCCACGCCTAAGCCCAAGTGATCCTCAGACCAACACGCCTCGAGGATCAGGTAGCGTCGACGGATAAGGAGGACACAGGTTCGAGGACAGTTTGTTAAGAGAGAGAGAGACGTGACAGGGCGTGGGAGGGCGCGGGGAAAGAGGCGTGTATGGGTGAGTCATAGTGGTAAGGGATGACGTATATATCCTCCCCACACACACACACACACACACACACACACACACACACACACACACACACACACACACACACATGCACACACACACACACACACACACACACACACACATGCACACACACACACACACACACAACGCTGAATACATGAATAAAAAAACGAGAATAACATTTTTAACCCAATTTTAATCATAATTTATAAAGTAATTAACAGAGAAAATTAATTCAATTTACCGTGAGGGTATTTTACACCACTCTACCTGACACATCCTCATAATAATTAAACAGATAGAATGGTGTGAATGACTCAATTAGGTTAGGATAGGTTAGGTTAGGTTAGGTGATAGTTAGGTTAGGTTAGGTTAGGTTAGGTTAAGTGAGGTTAGGTTAGGTTAGTTAAGGACTGCTCTATCAATCTCACCTCCTCCTCCTCACCCCCCAAAACAACACTACATTATAAATTCCTTTTAAAACTGGACGTAAATATATTGAGGTGATTAAAAGTAAAACGAGTCACCGTGAAATTACCACTTGTCTTCCTCTCTCTCCTTTATCAGCTATTATTCCTTCACACTCATTATCATCAGGCTCTCTCGTTTCTGATATCGTTTCTTTTTTATTTTCTTTTGTGTTTTTATTAATATTGTGTGTGTGTGTGTGTGTGTGTGTGTGTGTGTGTGTGTGTGTGTGTGTGTGTGTGTGTGTGTGTGTGTGTGTGTGTGTGTGTGTGTGTGTGTGTGTGTGTGTGTGTGTGTGTGTCCATTTATGGTACTTTGGCAGCAGGAGTCGTAAAGCCCAGCTGCAGGTAATTAACTTAAGAAAGAGTTAAAGAGGTTTTTTTCCTCCTAACCTTTCTTATTTTGGGGGTTGGGGTTGGGGGGAGTCTCATGTCTGATTAATGAAAAGCTCTTCAAACAAAGAAGAATAAAACGAATCAAGGGAAACAGAACAAAAAATAAACACCCACTTCGATACAAATTTATGTTAGGGCCAAAACAACTCTCGATATCAGAGGCGCTCGGCTAGTACCCCAGAAGGTCTCCTCCCCCACCATCCTCCCCACGCCACTCCCAGCGGGCTCCTCACTCTCCCCGCCTCCCTATCTCTTCCATATTGCCCCTGAAGCCTATCCACAAAGGAAACTAAATTGCATCCGGCACCGAGGATCCCATCTCGTGAAATACCAGCCAGGTGGGAGGAAGAACTGGTACCATCTTCCCGGTGAGGAGGAGGGGGGGAAGAGGAGCAAGGAGGAGGAGGAGGAGGGTTTGAGAGAGAGAGAGAGATTATATAAATATAAATATTTATGAGTATATACCAACATACATACACGAGAGAGAGAGAGAGAGAGAGAGAGACGCGCTCATCAGTGTGGCGGCTTCCAATAGACCTGGAATGCGATGCTCACTTGTCTCTTGAAGCGTTCAACACGGTGACAGAAGGCGTAGGTTTCTCGCGTTTATACTTTGCCCAGGTCTTTCGTCTATACTCTGTCTATATTTGAAAGTTGTTTGTTTATTTTAATTCTTCCTCCTTCTCATTTTCTCTTTCACTCACTTTCTGCTTTTCTATCCTACTCTTTCTCCTCTTTCACCTTTCTTCTCCTCTTCATTCTTTCACTCCCCACCCCACCCCTGGATCAAGTGAAGGCTCAGGGACCCATTATAAAGGAAAATGAGCCTTCGACGACCTCCTGCGACAGACACAAGCCCGACCCACAACACTGAGGTGGAGGACGAGGGTGAGGTGGAGGACGAGGGGGAGGTGGAGGGTGAGGTGAAGGACGAGGGGGAGGTGGAAGACGAGGGTGAGGTGGAGGACGAGGGTGATGTGGAGGACGAGGGTGAGGTGGAGGACGAGGGTGAGGTGAAGGTGGGAGGTATCACCACCCTTTTGTTTATAGGGGGAACGAGGGAGGGGGGGGGGCTGGGGTCGGTTGAGACGTTTGAGTGAGTAGGATCGGCTGAGTGGGGGTGGGACGGCTGAGGGGGGGTGGACCGGCTGAGTAAGGGGGTGGGATCGAAGGAGTGGGGGATCGGTTGAGTGAGGGGGTGGATCGGCTGGAGTGAGGGGGTGGGATCGGCTGAGTGGGGGTGGATCGGTTGGGATCAATTGAGAAAGAGCTGGGATAACCTGGGAATAGTTTGAGAGGGGGCAGACTCAAGTACAGCAGCCATAAGCACATACAGTACAGTACAGCAACAAGCCTGCCTGACACACAAACAGTACACCGGGTAGCAACAAAACATAGCAACATACACGACAGATACTGCGGCAAGTACTGAGTCTAGTAAACCAGCTCTTAAATATGGCAACAAGCTCTCCCGGCTATAACAACAACAGAAGGGTATAGCGGTGGTCGCTAAGTGTAGCAGTAAGCGATAGTTATGGTAGCGGTAGGCGCGGCGTGCCCAGCATTGCGGACAGGGATGGGATTTAAGAAAAAAAATATACGGAAAACAGAAAAGCCCGAATTTGTTTCGAAATAGTTGAACGGATCTTCTGTATAGTGAAGCATGGGGGGCTTGTTGTTGTTGTTGTTGCTTTGTTGTTTTTGTTGAGGTTATTGCTGTTGCTTTTGGAGGTTGTTGTCGTTGTTGTTGTTGTTTTTGTTTTTGTTGTTTTTATAGAGGTTGTTGTTGTTTTTGTTATTTTTATTGAGGTTGCTGTTGTTGTTTTGTTGTTGTTATTGTTGTTGTTGTTGTTGTTGTTATTGCTATTGCTGTTGTTTTGAAAGAGTATAGATGAAGAATGTGGAAAAGGAAGGAAGGAGACAAAAAGATAAAAGAGTAAGGAGAGAGAGAGAGATGTAAGAAGGAGAAACACGGATAAATAGAAGAAAAACAATATAAAATCAGGTGAAAATAAGGAGCGAAAGGTAAATAAGGGGAAAAGGAGGTAACGAAGAGGAAAAGGAAAGGAAGGAAAGGAAGGGAGGGGTGGGGAGAAGAAAGCGGAACAACAAGGGAAAGGAAAGGATGGGAAAAAGAAGAGGAAAGGAAGGGATGGGAGGATAAGAGAGAGAAGAAGAAGAAGAAGGAAAAGAAAAGGAAGGGAGAGATAAGAGGAAAAAAAGGGAAGGGAGGATAAGAGAGAGAGAAAAGAACAAAAAGGGAAAGGAAAGGAGAGGAGAAGGGAGGGTCCGGCCACACCAAAGCGGCCATAATCTAGCTATTTACATGTAGATGCCACACCCGGCCAGCCAATAGACACTAGTTTTTTTCCCAGACCAGATGAACCACTCGCGATGTGTGGGGGGGACTTCTGCGGCGGTCTCATGGGCGTGGTGTGAGCGTGTGGGTGCGTGGATGGGCGTGGGTGGGCGTGGGGAGGCGTGGTGGGCGTATAGGGACGTGGTTGGTTTCGTACGGTGTGTATGTGGGGGTTGCGTGTGTGTGGGGGGAGGGGGTAGTACACGGCTGATGTATTCTAGACCCATTTAAAGGACGTGATTGACCTCCTTGACCTGTGATTACGTGTGTACTTACTGCCCTCTCTCTCTCTCCCTCCTCTCCCCTTACTCTCTCATTCTTCTGTCCTCTCCCTCTCTCCCTCACTCTCATTCTGTCCTCCTCCTCCCTTCCCCTCTCTCATCCTTCTATCCTCTCCCTTACTACTTCCGCACACCTCCCCCTCTTCCCTCCCTCCCCATTCCCCATCCTTCCCACCAACAATCAATCTCTTAAATGAATAAATAAATAAATCACACCAAAAATAACGACAAAATCCCTTTAACAAAAATGCAAAAATAAACACTACAGCATCGCAGGCATCAGGGCATAAGAGACATCGCAGGCATCAGGGCATAAGAGACATCGCAGGCATCAGGGCATAAGAGACATCGCAGGCATCAGGGCATAAGAGGCATCGCAGGCATCAGGGCATAAGAGACATCGCAGCATCAGGGCATAAGAGAGATCGCAGGCATCAGGGCATAGAATGCAGGCATCAGCAAGAGGCACGCAGGCATCAGGGCATAAGAGGCATCGCAG